ATTACTACAAAAATACTATTTTGTAAATGGAATTGATCAGAATATACTGCCACTGAATACACTGCCTTGTACCCAAGCAGTCACTGGTGAGCGCTCTTCACTTGCTCAATTATAGACCTTATTTCCCATCGGAAATTAACAAGAAAACATACCTTTACGACATCTTTAAAGATTACTTGTATATGAACAAATGTTGTGGGTTTTTCATAATCGGGAATTAAGAAACATAACATAACATAACATCACGCCTTTTATCCCCGAAGGGGTAGGTATAGGTGCACATTATGCCAGTGTACAATGTAACACCCACTTCCAGTATTTATGATAACAGTCCCATATAATAGGGGATGAGCCTATTGCCATATACCGAGCGCAATTCCAGACTCCGTGCTACTACTGAGATTTTTTTTAAAACCCTGTAGTACTTTGCCCGACCCGGGAATCGAACCCGAGACCCATTGCCCGGCAGTCGCATTTGCGACCAATCGGCCAACGAGGCAGGGATAATAAGAAATAATGTAATATTATGCGTTTGTAGATTTGTAATCGGTATTATAATGTATATATACCTAAAATTAATTACTTTATTGATTCCACAGTACTGCCCGTATAAGAGGAAATCAGGAATTTGCAAGTAAGTACCTATTATATTATTAGGTAACTGTCCGTGGTTCGAGATCTGGCAAGTACCAATGTGAATTTGTCCATGAAACTTGAGCAAGCGTGGTTATTCATTCTCAAACCTTCTCTGTGTAAGAAGAGACTTTTGCTCAGCAGTGGCCACTTTTAGGCTTTTTATGTTGATGTTGTTAATCTTTTTTAGTCTGATGAAATCAAAAGTGTAACGATTTACAATTTAATTGTCCACGTACTTCAGTATTATGTTATCTTTCAGGCACGGCAAACATGATGTTCCATGCCAAATAAGTTCTTCAAAATCTAGACCTGTAAGTATATGATTTCTTTATACACTTTTAACTTGACATAGGTACAAAATACAATTTTCCAAGAGGAAGGATTTACCCGAAGGGTTCTTTAAAAGAAATTTTATTCGGAGAGTATTTTCTTTAAACTGTCAAACACCAAGCGGTCACCGGTGACCGCAACCTATTGTTCTATAATTGTGTCTACAAAACCAGTACTCGACGAGTTAATTATTATTGTTATCGAACTTAGACAAATGGAATTGGGCCTTCGGCGGTTACCGAGTTGGGGTTCGTGGTATCACTCCGGTCGAGCCGGTCTATCCATGTCCAAGCATGGCCCCACACGAGAAGTTGAAGTTCAATGTTGTAGTCTTAAAATTCAAATTTCTTTGCAGAAAAACCGTCGTGAGATCTGTCTTCTACCGGAGCTTGTACATCACGATCACCTCTACGAGTGTGGTCTAGACGCTTTATACAAGGTGGAGCGCGTGGCTGTGCCTGTCAGACATAAGAAACATGTGTTTCCGAGCCTCTGGCACAATGTACGTTATTGCAGATTGTAGTTAGAACTTCATTGCGTTCTTTTGGAGTCTTGTCGTTGAAACACTAGAGTTAGAGGTGTTAAATTTAGTTTCCTGGTTGAGTCTTTTACTAGAGCACTATAGTTGTAACGCGTTCAATAGTAACATGCTTATCTCGTGAATAATGTCTTTAGCCTAACTTTGTTATAATCTATGAATTTCGAAAACCGAAAATTCCAGTATTTTTTATCACAACTCTGAGACTGAAACCACAACAACTGCTAAAACCATTCAACTATGCTTACAGCAATTATCATCAATAGACCGTGTCATTCCGCTACTGAACATTCTTTCTTTTTTTGTACCTTTCTCTTCTCTCTTCATTTGGACCTCTCTTATTATAAAGAGGACTCATAGGATACACGAGATGTGTACCATAATAGCTTAACAAGCGAGTTGAAGTTGAAAACAGCAGTTTAAAAGAATATGAAATGAAATGAGAGAACGCTGCTGCCTGGTCTCTGTTTATGGGCAAGACCTTTAACGCCAGACGGCATCTAACGCCGGTCACTTGTATTATCTCGGTAACTAATAACGCAAGCGATTCAATTTTTAGGGGGAAGTCTCTCAGTGGCTGACACCTAAGATTTTTAGTAAAAATTGAATCGTCGTCCGGGGTTACGGGACTTTTCCCTACATGTAGCAATTACGCTTTTCTCTACGCCCCCAATAAGTCGCAGACCAAAACAGAGGTTATTGTCTCTAGACCGATTGCTATGAGGCAGAAAAAAAGTCCTCATCAATACAAATTAATCAAGCCCAAACACAAGGTAGTTAATATAAACCGCTGAGGAGTTCCCTCGACTGTCTGTCGGCTCCATCATTAGGTCGACTCCAGACCCTTATCAAATTGTATTGTTTAAAAATCGTAATTGAAAACCATAATAGACGCATTACTCGCCCATAGAATTTTCGAAAGTTCCCCTCGTTTTCCCTAGGATCCCATCATCAGATCCTGACCTCATGGAAATGGGACCATCTCGGGAGTATACCCTTTCAAACAAAACAAGAATTTTGGAAATGCGGAGTACTGCGCGAACAAACAAACAAAAATAAAAAACAATCAGCCGAACATAGTACCTCCTCCTTATTTTGAAGTCGGTAAAAAATACGCTTTAACATTCTCTAACTTACTTTTACATTGCCAATTTCAGTGCAAACAATTAGAAACACAAACGTCATGTATTATGGATAAAATGGGGATCCTGAACAGGTATAAGTTCATGGACTATTTTAAGATGAAGGATAAAATCAGACAGTTTACCGAGGACAAGCCGGAGTGGTCAGCGATGATGGATATTTATACGAGTGCGTATATCAATTTGCCGATGTATTCCGATCATTGTAACTCGGAGAGGAAGCTGCTGAATGTCATTGATACTATGCTGATGGTAAGATCCTTGTAAAAATATAAGCTTCTGAATTAATCGATAGGTTTTAGTGAAATTCCTATTGTTTTTATAACAACTATCGTGAGACATACTAAATTAACTAAAAATCATGGGTTACTCAGATGAGTATACTAAGAAAAGCTCAACTAGTTTCGAACCACAGAGGGGTTCTAACTCATGTCCTCATTTCGCGGTTGCGGTGCCGGTGATCATTATCATTATCAGTAGGCGCGACATCGCCGCGACCGCGCACTCTGCTCATGAGGAAGAACCTCTCTGTGGTTCGAAACTAGTAGAGCTTTTCTCAGTATATTCACGTGAGTAACCCGCGATTATGCTAATGTTCTGTTGCCAAATTTTACTCTATTATTATTATTAGATTCATCCAAGGGAATGGAACCTATAACCGCTTCACATGTCGTTCGTACTGTTTTGTAGATATACCTACTAACGTAGGCAGATTAAAATCACAGCAAAAAGTAATTAAAATTTATCATTCCCTACGATTAAGTATAGTAAGATGTTTAACAAGGGACTTGAAAAAAGTTGTTAATATATATATAACATCATATAACATCACTCCTTTAATTTCCGAAGGAGTAGGCAGAGGATTTGTGTTATGCGTCTAATGTATCAGGCCTATTGCTATATACAGGGCACATTTCCAGACTCCGTGCTACTACTGAGAATTTTTAAAAACCCAGTAATATTTTGTCCGACCCGGAATTCGAACCCGAGACCCCTTGCCCGACAGTCGCATTTGCAACCAGTCGGCCAACGAGACGGTTAATAGGTGTAAAATATCATTTATAAATTGTAAATGGGTGTATTATTTTTGAATAATTTATAGTATAGTATAACTACATTCCAAAACCAATTTTTTCAGACATGCCCAGTATCGAAGCGCAAAAACACGCCGCAATGTAACTCACTCTTCATGGAAATGGTGAAAGCAACTCCAGCGGACAACCAAACCGTGACCAAAGAAAAAGCCGACCAAATTATGAAGCACTACCACCATGTGTTCATGCCTACACGACCACGACCTTCTAGATTCGACGTCGCTATACGAAAGAAGCATACAAAACACGTCACTCCTGCATTCCAATTTGGGATTCTTAATTCAAAGAATGCTCCTCCTGTTAGGGTGGCTTATGTTAAGCCCCCTTCGTACAAAGTAAGACCGCCTTTGATTCTCCAGCCAGTGTACCTAAGACCAACCCATTTTATAAGAGGTCGTGTGAGCGATGGTGCTTTTAGAAGTAACCTTTTTTGGCATCATAACCAATTAATGAAACCTCAAGAGTCGATCGAAAAGTCGTCTTCAACTACCAGTTCTCCTGAAGTATCTACTTCTGCGACTCTTGAACTATCTACGATGCCTCCTCAGTTTAATGGACCTTTCTTCGAATTGCCTACTAAATATATTAACAACAATGACATGGATATGGATTTGGGGCGACCTGAATAGTGTTTTTATTGAATTAAATATCGTATTGTATTCGAAACTGAAGTTTTTCTTGTCTTTGTTAACATTTTTTTATTAAATTTGTATTAATTCGAAAAGATTGATTTTTTTTTAAATTACCTGTGATTGATTGTATTTCTCAATATATTCAATTTCAATTGTATTTAGCATTAAAATTAATGTAGGAATTAGAAGCTGGAACATGATCATCATCATCAACAGCCTATAAATGCCCACTGCTGAGCAAAGCCTCTTCTCGAGAAGGATTGAGCATTAAACTCCATGCTGCTCAATGCGGGTTGGCGATTCCTTCACCGTTTGTCAATGGTGTCTATATAATCTTTAGAAAGTACATATAACTCGGAAAAAGTCATATTGGTGGGTTGGACCCGCACTCTCATGCATGAGAAGCGGGCGTCTTAGAACCTAACGGGTTACCGGGGCTCCGGCTCGACGTGCAGGAGAAGGAACGGGGTGGTTTTTAGTCAGTAAGAGTCTGACACTCCCTCCCGCCTCACCCAGGCGGGAGCAGTCATTCGATGATTTTACCCCCTTAAAAAAAATACCTTGTGCCTATAATTTGTAGCACAAGATTTTCAGTCTTAATAAATAGGTATTAATAAAAAAAACAAAATTGAAGCCATATGAAAAAGATATTTAATACAATCATAATATGTACTGCCTGAGTAACTATTGTACTTAATATATTTCTTACAATACTATATCATAGCTATAAGTATCCGTTACAATCATAATTTCAACCAATATATTGTCCTCAGTCTTAATAAAATGTATAAAATTTTGGCCAGACATCATTTCAATATTTTCATTCCAGAAAAATCGTAAAAATTACTACATATTTCGATTTTTTTTTATTTAAACCTATTTTCTTTTTTTATAAATGTATAATTTTAATTCCACTCGCTAATATTTCGACTATGCACTTTTAAGAAATCAAAAAATAAATAAAATTATTTATAAACTACTAGATTATAACATACATCACTCTTTTTATATAGATACATTCAACACAAACAAACAAATTCCACTACATTTCATCACTTCTAATTTTTTCTCATACTTTGAACTCATTCAAATATTTTTAATAAATTATAATTAATTAAAATAATTAGTAGATAAGCAAGAACATGGGCACATGAGTTTCACTCAAATGTAGATTAAAAATTAACAAATTAAAAAAAAATTGCAAAATTCCAAAGAGGTTAGGCACCGATAATAAAAAAAAAGTTAAAGCACTTTAGTAAAAAAAAAACATGGCAAGCGATTGATATTTTGTAAACACGATTATAATTATTCGAGGTTATAACTATATTTTTTATATTTCAAGACGCTGTACATTGTCAATACTTATATCGTAATAGGATGAATTACAATATTTACATGTATTACCATTACATAGTAAAAAAACATGTTATTTAAAAAAAAACATTATCTACATACTGAAAAATCAAGTAAAAAGTAGTAATCCAATCAATTTAGAACACTAAACTTGTTGGTATTAAGTATAAAATGGTGTGTTTATATTTTATAATGAAATACCATGCATATTTTATACAAATATATAATAATTTAAAGCCTAAAGCTCAAAAAACAACCACATTGTAATTACGTATATAAAAAAGTCAAATGAAATTATTTAAATAAACTTTACATCTCGCACAAACCTAAGTTATGTATGTTTCTTTCTCAAAGATATTTTAGGTATAATTATAAACATTATAAGTTTATTAACCGTATTAAAGAATAATGTAATTAATATTTTATTGCTAACATGAATAACAACAGAAAAAACTGCAACAAAACATTTACAAATAAAAGAAAATCCATTCGTAAAATACAGAAATTAACCAAAAGGTTAATAAATCTAATAACTCGTTTCTTTTATACAGATACAATAATAACTGGAGTTTTAAGTTCATCATCGGACCAATGAGAAAAAGGGATAGAGGTATACAGAATATGCTCTGTCCCTTTTTCTTAATGATGACTTTTACAAAGACACTCTATTTTAAAGAGTTCGATCGTTCGTTTTCATAGATACTATTTACAGGCATAATAATTCGATTCAAAGAATTATTATGTGAAATATATCAATGTAAGAATATTATACGAGTTAAAAAATAGCGTCAAAAGCCAGAAACCACTTTAGATATCAAACATATAACAAAAACCATGTTCTATCCATTTTTGTACAAAAACTTTGTATAATTGATATACATTTTGAATTTCATTATGGCATATTAAGGCTGATTGTGTCAAAATTCCTCATAGATCGAGTATCACCGTTAAGACTATGGGACCCAGTATTGATCCTTGTTAAAATTTCTTGTTGAAGCGCTTTTAGAGTTCGCATGGTGGAGAGATCGGTGCTTGGAGCAAGAAGTAATGCTCTTCTAGCATGAGGAAGAGCTTCTGACGGCTTGTTGAGGGCGAGGATGGCTCGAGCCATGGCGTAGGCACACTCAAAGGCGTTGGGACGCAAGCCAGAGGCCCGTGCTGCAAGGTCTAACGCTTCTGACGGTTCCTGCAAAATAACAGTCACAATGTTTTCAAAATATCGATAAGACTTGTATATGAAGATGACTTGTATATGAGTAATAAAGACGCAATGGATGTGAAGCTTGAATTCTTGTATTATAATTTGAATATTGATAGGGAATGAAAAACTGAGTATCAACATTTACTTTGTTTTATTTATTAATTCCCAAGACTTGAAACACGCGTCAAGTCAATTACTCTTTGGACTTCTGTTCTAGGTCTAGGCCAAAAGACTTCCAAAACGTTCTTTCCTCCATTTTTAAAGTTCAATATCACTTACGTTCAATTTCCTCTTGCATCTAGACAAGTTCAGCAGCAAATTGGTCTTCAACTGCACAAAAGCTGACACATGTTCATGTGGCACTGGTTGAGTGGTAGGAGTCGTCAGCCCTTCGTCACTGATCAGTGGGTTTATCTTCTTCAGTGCATACTGGTAGCGGTGAGCTGCTTCTGAAGGTCGGTTCTTACGGTATAACATGTTTCCGTCTTCTAATAACTTGTTCAGCAGTATTAGCCTGGTGGAAAATGGATTTGTTAGTTTCATAATCGTCATTACATTACTCGTATTCAATTTGAAATGAGGTTTGTACCTCAGTTAGATAATAATAACATGATTAAATTATCAATTTATTGCGAATTGTCTACTTACATGAATTCTGGTTTGCCCGAAGCCATGACCCACGTGGTTGGACCAAGTTTAGCGCCTTTTCTTAAGAAACAATTGACGACCTGTAAATAAGCGATTCATTAATACAATGTCATTACTAGACACCATGTAGGTAGAATAATAATTTAAAATAGTGGCCAGCAGTAGAATTAAAAAAGAATGACTTACGGGAACATTCCGTTGTCCAATAGCTCTGTCAAGCGGCCTAAGGCCGCTGTGGTCAACTCTTTCCAAAGAGGCTCCTCTCTCCAGCAGGATATCAACGAGGTCTGATGGTCCACCGCAGGCGAGACCCAAAGGTGTACGACCGCTACCGTCAGGTTGGTCTGTAAAGAAGAAGATTAAACGATTAATTTGTAAATCAATACCGCCAAAGCTTTGAGTCAACAATTTTTGGATATTATAAGTAGGTAAAATGTTTAACGAAGCATGTTTAAACAGATGGCAAAGTCTATTTACCTATGGTAGCTCCTTTGTCAAGCAGGACTATCATTGTGGGCAATCTGGATCTTAGACACGCCCAGCCAAGAGCCGATATTCCATCACCATCGACAGCGTCTGGGTCAGCACCTGAAATAAAAAAAAAAAATTTTTATAACAATAATTAAAGTTTTAATTGCACAAAGGATAAAATGATTCAAAAAGAAGAATGTTATATAACGACAAAAAATTTAATATTTAAGGCTCATGAGAGAAATTTATAAGTTAACACATTAAACTCACCTTGATTTAATAACATCTCTACAACATCAGCATGACCTTCTGCAGCTGCTAATATCGAGGGAATCTTTCCACCAGAGCCCATAACATCAGCTCCTGAATCTAGAAGCCTTAGTACTAAAGCTGTTCTGCCATTTTTGGCTGCAAGTGCTAATGGTGATAGTTGTCGAGCGTTTAGGGAATATGGTGTAGCTCCTCGGATGAGAAGAGCATCGGCAATTGCAGCATTGCCTGATGAACAAGCTGCTGTGAGAGCTGTTTCTCCTGTCACTGGACATATGCCATCAGGCTGGAAAATAATAACAAAACATTTTAGTGAATGGAACTTTGTAAAACCAAAATATTTACAATTTGATTTGAATTTTTTGATAGACCTTATGCACATTTACATCAAGGAAATTATAATTGAAGTGGATATTTTGTCAAGTTAGCAATCTTTCACACAACTTTCACACACAACAAACTACGAATATAAACAAGATTAAGGACTACACTTACAATTAATTCAGCAGTATCAAGAAGATATTCCACAATATCTAAATGTCCATTTTGGGCTGCAGCTATCAAGGCATGTCGTGATCCTGGAACTAGTTGCTCAATGCTACCATCATCGATGTCCAAAGAATTTCTATCGTTGCCAGTCTGGCAACCCAATAAGTAGATTACTGTATCCCTGTGACCATTCTTCGCTGCGTGGACTAGAGGAGTCTGCTCTGCAGTGTCCGTATGACTAAGTGATGCACCTGCAATATTAAGAACATGGTTTGGTGAAATAAAAAGCTCGAAAGTCAAACCAAAGTTGACTCTAGTTATAAACGTATGGATCATAAAGTTACCTGCAGCTATAAGTCTCCTCGCAACATCAGTGTGCCCCCTTTGACACGCCAAAGATAACGCTGTACAACCTTGAGAGTTCGTCATTTCCATGTCAGCTCCAAATTCTATCAACAGCCCAACCATTGCCAATATCCCTTGATACGCATACATGCATAGCAGTGGGGCACTACCAAGACATTCTGTGATCTGGTTGGGAGAACCTCCAGCTAAGAGCATCAGCCGAGATACTTTTACATTTGGAGTGTAAATATTCCTCAAATTGGCAATTGCTTCACCAACATTGGCTGAACTTGTTGCTACCAACATTGCTTGCAAATCTCTTGGACATAAACCTAATTGCGCTGGGCCCATATTCCTGTACATGTGTGCTTTTAAAATGTGATGTCCTAGCTCCATTGACTTTTCTGAGTCTAATGGCGCTTGTACCCTGGATAGCCTGAATGCAATACCACAATGTCCAGCTCTCAAATCACAGAGGAATTTTGGACTTTCATTGTCATCTCTTCTTATCAACCATTCCCTGAACGAAGGGTGGAAGAACATGTATGTGTTGTCGATCCTTTTCACCAGAAAGTCTGTCAAGGATTCGAATCTGTGGCAGAACTCATCCCAAGGAAGGAACGTATTGACCAGCAATGAATTCACTGAATAGTATATTTCAACCAAAGTTAAAGGGTATAATGCTGCTAAGCAGACGCTTAGGATATGCGTGACTTTCTCAAATGACTGTACCGTAGGGAATCGTAGATTGAATTGCAACAAGAATATTTGTGCCAATGATATTGGCACTACTTTGTAATTTGTAGATTTAACAACAATATGACTCCTTTCAAGTAGGTCTAGTACTAATTTTAGGAACAAAAACGAGCCTTGGCTTAGGTGGAGAACGTATTGAGCGAATTTCATCACTGAATTGTGTACTCCTTCAATCTTTCCAGTTGAACACTTGATATTTGTTTCTATGATAGGAGCAGCTTGAAGTCTAGTGTTGAAATACTCCAGGAGATCTTTGTTAACATTGTCTGACTCGTCTAAACTCAGCCTGGTGTATGGCAACTGCTTCGACAATTCCAAAAATTGTGTCCTTACAGTAGCGACTACTTTGAGCCATGTAGGCATTTCTGGTACATGTCTTGCTAGGAACGAAGCGATGGTGTATCCATGGTCCGGTCTATGGTATTCGGCTTCACAAAGACCGTCTACGAGAATGATGCTGTTTGAGGAATCTATGCTTCCATTTCTCCTCAGGATTATGAGAGGTTCAATGATGCCTCTCATGAAAGCTAAGTCTGGGTCTGCGATGCACTCTTTGAGAGACAAACAAGCGAGTAGATGAGGTTCACTAAGGAGATATTCTCTGTAGGCTTGTAGTCTAGGAGCTTGGCAGAGTTGTGCTGCTAGTGAATGGACGAATTCACCCACGAGGCAAGTACTGTTGTTATCAGCCTGGAAATAAAAGACGTATTAGTAAACAATTTACACAAAAATATCCTTAAGTGTGTGGGAATTAGATTTAATTCTGCTCTAACGCTTACCTGACAAAAATGATAAGCGACTACATGTGAAGCCAGGTGGGTGAACATGCCAATAGTGAGCTCCTCTGGTAGCATCTCCCTGATATCTGATTGTTCTCGTAATTCTTCATATTCGCAGTTCCTTTTTCTACCAAAGCAGGAGTATTCTACTAGCTGGAGTATTAGTGCTGTCTTTCCAGTGCCTGGACAACCAGATACTATGATACCTGTGGAAGGAATACATGTGTCGATAAATCGAGTATTTGATTGATCAGTATACTGAAGTTGAAGTTGACGAAACGTGGGCAGGCCTCTCGCTAGGTGGGCCGACAATATTGCCAGAGTTGCGGGGAGCCAATGGATGCAGGTGGCGAGTTGTCGTTCAACGTGGAGGACTAAGGGGGAGGCCTTTGTCCAGCAGTGGACGTCTTCCGGCTGTTAATGATGATGATGATGATGATAATACTGAAGTTTGTGAATTAATGGTAACAGCTTCAAAAATAATGCAAGAAATTAAGATATGTGATTCACAATTTTGGTTTGAGTACTTAATTTAGGAAATATAGTATAAAAAAAACTGTTCTTCAGATATTACCTATTTTTGATCGAGTAAAATTAGTAGTAAATCAATACAAACATAAGTAAAGTACGATACAAACCTGAAGCACTAGAGTCCAGAGCTTTCTCCATATCCCTCATAAGCCATTGTCTTCCTGAGAAGAACATCTGATTGTCTGTTGAAGGTACCTCGAAGAACAGTGGTCGTAATGTAAGTTGTGGTGATGGATGAACTGGGGATAAATTCTTTTATTAGAACTATGAATTTAATACATAAGATCTATAATATCCTTAATAGGAAGGGTGACCGTAATAGTATTTTTAACGATCAGCATTGATTCGAATAAATGTGGTTTTCATAAAATGAAATGTCATCTATATGGGACTAATAACTAGCTGGAATTAAAGTATATACGTGTACAGGCTACTTCCGCGCGGTTTCACACGCTTTGCTCAGCTCCTATTGATCGTAGCGTGATATTTTACTTTTAGCCTATAGCCATCCTCGATAAATGCGTTATCCAACACAAAAAGAATTATTCAAATCAGACTTGTAGTTACGGAGATTAGCGCGTAGCCTTCCGCTTTATATAATAGTATAAGAAGTATACGATAACATTTAGTTCTCGAATAATATAGTAAACCTATTTTTGACAAGTCTCTTTGAACTTTATTTTAAACGTCAGTACGTATAGGTACGATAAATTCTCATTACCCACAATTTGCAAATTATTGTCTAATTCAGTTTTATTAAAGCTTTATAATCGAAAACTTATTTTAACTGCTAAAGTTGTTTAAAAATAATCTAAATAGAATTTAATTAGAAACCTAATTACGCTAAAAATAATCTTCGAGTACATAATAATAATATCTTTTGGACGTTTTTGCTGAGAGACTAGACTAGGAAAAAATATTAATTTAGCTTAACAAATAACCTTTTTTGATTTCTGACGATGTCGATGATTGCTTGCTGTTGACCCTGGCTGATCGTCTGGCTGCTGTTTTCCGTGTTTTGAAGAATCCACTGGACATTCGCGTCAGTTCATCTGATCTGCCACTTTGAAGAGCTACGGGGAAAAACAATTTTATTGGCTTTTTGTTTCAAGTTGAATTGACAAAAGTATAGTGTGTGAAAGAACACAAGACTAAGACAACGATGAATTGTGTTGTGAAGAAAAGAACGTGTATGATGAAAGGGAAGGGAAATTATAATTGATCTAATCTATGCAGGGGGAACTTAAGAAACCCAACAAAAGGCTAGTAATAAAAATAACAAATCAACTACAATAAACTCTTCCAAATCAGTCCATTTCTATCCCTGTTCCTAAAATTTCCAAATCACTTCCAATCAATGAATGGTTCTCGTGTCCAAAGCTAATAACATTTCCTTGTGAGTAGTATTGGCAGCCATAAATACCAAGGGGCGTGGTATCTTAATGACCAGCCACTTTAATCTTCGAGAGCCTAATTAGGAGAGATAGAAAAGGGAATTAGGAAACTAATTTGGCTAATTAGATTGGCATGTTACCGGCGAAGATTTGTTTTTATAGGTTTGGGATATGCAGGCAAACGATTAGACGGATCGCCTGCTGGTAAGCCATCAGCGACGCCCATTGACATTGGACACCCGCTACACTAGATGAGTTACAAGTGCGTTGCTGGCCTTTTAGGGGTTTTAAGATTTGAGGATTGAAGAGATTGAGGAGGGGAGAAATTATTTGGTAAATTTAGAACAGCTGGATTATGAATTTTTACTTACTGTTAACAGAATGTCGTCTGCTACCAGGACTGGACGAGGAACAGTTGCTGGCTGCTGATAATGACATGGACGCCAGAGAGCCTAAGGAGTCACGACCCAATGGTGTCGCTACTTCCACCTCTGAAGAACCAGTGAGGGTTGATACCTGGAATAAAAGGGTTATTGCAGTTGGTACAAGCTATGCAGATGTGGATGCACATATTTCCTGTCATGATGCTAATGCATTATGAATTGCAATGAAAGATTTGATAAGAAAAGAAAATAATTGTCGGTAATAAAAATCATGACATAATATTATTCATTATACTTTTTGGACAAAATCTTGCTTTTATACCCCTTTTGCTTGCTTTTTGCATTATTGTAGGAACAACTGTATAACTGTATCGTAGTAATTGGCGTTCCTTAGTCTCTGCCTACCCCCATGGGAGACAGGCGTGAAGTTATGTATGTATGTAGGAACAACATGAAGACTTCTCGTTAATTATTTGTGGCTTAAATCAATATCAGGCTCATATATTCGTAATTTACGGAAAAGTAATTACAAATTCGTCTTTAATTATTATTTGTAGGTTACCTAATTTTTAGAGCTCTTAAAAACAGACTATACTATCATAAAATCTATGGAATTAAATGAAATACTTACCGGACTGGTATTATGTGACGCCAGTGTATGTGCATCGAGAGAAGCGAGAGAAGTACAGCTGTCTCTAGCCTTATTCCTCGCTCCTCTTCTCTCGCCTAAAAGAAGTCCCAAACGCATGTACAGGTCATTCTGTCTTCTGGACTCGTAACCGGTCTGCTTGATGTGACCTCCTTCGTCATCTGTGGGAGAGAAGAAGAAGAAGATTAGAACATAGTTCACGAAAAAGAGAAAGAAATATAAAAGTTGAAGTATGTGAATTGTCGTGAAGCGTTTTATGGGTTCGTTCATTTATGTAAAACATTTTGGCTTTGGAAATTACCATGGCTATAATTATTTAACCAATAGTATTTCGCCTTATTCTTATGCACATTATTAACTCTAAGCCCTTAGACATAAAGCTCAAAATGATTCTAAACAAATACAAAACGAACGTACAATAAACAATTTCTAAATGCAAAATTGATTTCACAACTAAACTGTTACTTTCAAATCGATAAGCTATTGACATTTCTAGCATAAAGGTGCAAAAATATACAAACAGTGTAATTATGGCTATAAAAACGCATTTACAAATACAGCTTTCCATAAAACATGCCTATGTTCACAAGCTTTCAACAAAACGCAAAAACAATTGAATAATAAAAACAACAATATATTCAAATTATGTGAACTCCATGCATAATACATTTATACACAACCGTGCTATACATATTCTTACACATAGGAAAAACAAAAGAAATCATTCAAATTTAGTGAAATGGTGAAAACTGATGTGATGAGAAATCACTGGTAAATTTTCTTTTTGCTTTTAAAAAAGCGATTTACTGTAGCGTTTTCCACATTTAGTTGCTCAATGTAAAAAAGAGACATATGTACCTTACCTAGGTGGTGTTTAATCCTAAAATCTTAGGTATAGATAATTGGGATGATGACAGGGTACGAAAATTAAAAATCTGTTTAGTCCGTAAGTTAGGCAACGAAAAAATATTAGACACGTATTTTTTTATTTTGTTGTATACTAAAATAGTACCTAGATATAATCAAAGTTTAGGAGTGGGGGCTAAAACGTCATTTCTACGTATAAAATGTACATAGAAGTGACGTAACACGTCATTTCAAATCGATATATCGTCGAAACTATTTGATTACGTAAGAAAATAAAAATGATGTGTTTAGTGTTTTAAACTGTCAAACACCAAGCGGACACCGGTGACCGCAACCTATTGTTCTATAATTGTGTCTATAATGACGGTACTCGACGAGTTAAAGTAGGTAATCTACCCTATTAATTACATACGTTAGCTTGTTTGGTAGTCGACCTTTTGTCAAAATAAGTTGTTTAGTCGAAAGATTCTATAAAGCAAGAAACTGCTGAACTACGTGTTCAACTAACTGTTCATACGTCTTTTAAAATAACTTCAACATTTAATACGATTTCTTCTTCCATCGTATTTATACAAACACCTTCTTCTTCTTACATATACACAATCAAGTGCCAATAATTACTTCTCGATCCTTTTAAACGCCTTCCGATAGGTAATTATTTCCACCATCATCGGTAAGAAACCCAACAGATACACACACTTACCTTTTGTTTTCTCAATTCCCATGACATTTTGAAACAAATTAAAGAGTTTAATGAAGCAATACCATATTAGGTATTAAAAGAGGTCTCTGCAAGATATTTTTGCACCATTCATTGTGTGTTAAAACGAAATTATTGCGAAGCGGAAGAAATTAACACTGGAAGCGGTTGGGAATGTTTGTGTAAAACAATCGTTGGGAGATAGTCTTCGAAATAGTTAGAAGAAAAGATGAGGTAATCGTTTTTCTGTAGATTCACAGTATTGTTTCGTCTTTTCACATCAAAAGTCCGTCATAGTGTAACTGCTAGACTATATGCCTTTTTTACATAAAAGGGATATTTCGAAGAGCGTTGCTTTCCAGGAGGTATCAGTCAAACGTTGAACTAATTCTACTAGTTCAGAGACTTAGCTAGCGCTGCATCTGCCGTATAATTATGCGGGGGCTACATGTGCTGCAAAACGTGTGTAAGTAAAAAATAATAAATGCTTCGCAATGTTCGATTTTATTTCAGTAATCACAAAAGTCAAATTAGACTCTTTATTCCCGTATACAGCATGAGTTCAAAGGTTAGCAGAAACTTTAGAAAAATTTAATTTGGTAATCATAGTTTGGGCCTGGAAAGATTTCCGATATTCACACTAAATATTTTCTTGTAAGAAATTTTTGGGCTTCATAAGGCAATATTCATATTCGAAACAATTTTTATACATATGGGGCCCCCGCCAAGTCACGCTAGGTCATTGATTAAGTACAATATAATAATTGGTGTTTATTTATTATTTTTCTGATGACTGATTGGTGATTATTTCATCAAGCAGGTTTTACTCCAAAAAAATAAGAATAGTTAGTCTACTTTTCATATTTTCCTTGTGCTTCACCTAAGCACATAAATTAAATGCTTAGATATTTTACGTAACGTAAACAGACTCTAGTATTAAAATACCTCGCTATGTCCTACAGGATATAAGTTCGTCTTCCTTTACTACAAGTTGCAATATCGGCCATATCGTCCGGTGTAAGGTGAGATCCTCCAGGTGCGGAAACGATGGCGTGGGAACATTGTGCTAAGACTTGAACTTGATACTGTTGTCTTAGTTGTATGTCATAAGGACAGTGTGATGAAATTAACAATTGTGATTTTTATTGAAAGTAGATGGGTTTTTGTTTACGGAAATATGCGTTTTTTTTTTGAGGACGAAAAATAATCCAATTTCTTATTCCGCCTTGGGTGAGGCGAGAGGGAGTGTCAGACTCTTACTGACTAAAAACCACCCCGTTCCTACTCCTGCTCTTCGAATCGAAGCCCTGGCAACCCGTTACGCCTTCCGCGGTTCCGTATCGGGCATCAGCCCTGTTGGGCCCTATCTGTGGTGGTCTGATGGCTCTTTGACGCGCACGCGGAGCGCGACGCGTGTTATGCATGGGTCTGGATCTGATCGGGCGTTGAGCTACCCTTGCTCACCGTCCGCACGGTAATGAGTTAGGGAAAGAAGTCAAAGTCACGGCCTCTATAAAACCCGTCGGGACTTTCTGGGACCGATTTGAATGACTTATTTTACCATTTGTAAGCTAATTTTTCAGGAAATAATATATATGCCATGTATTTTACCGATATTTCTGCAAGATCGAGACTTTGTTTTACACAAGCGAAACTGCAGTTGGAAAGCTAAGTTAATAAGCAATCACTGGTATTCTACTACTCATTACTAAACACATATCTTATTAAAGCCAGAACGCATTAACTCAATACCAACATCAATTTAAATTGAACTGTCACTGTATAGACATACAACTCAATGTTAATTAACGTGTTTATTGAAATGTCTTCGTTAAGTCGCTAAATAAGACATTTTTGCCAAATGTCAAGTTGTTTCGCTTGATGTCTGACATTTTGTTACTTATAAATTAGCGTGAAAGGGCAATACTTACAGGTCCATCCACAGTATGCAGTGAATGGCTTCGATTTAGGTTTGAATGCACGTGAACGCTTTAGAGATAAGGAGCCTCGAAACTTCAATATTTATACGAATATCGTTAATAAGTCGGAGTTACATTGTGTCCAACCTCCTTCAAAAGATACCACGGCCTCACAGAAAACCGACGTGAAGCAACGCTTGCGTTGTGTTTCGTCGTGTAAGTGAGGTTACCGGAGGCCCAATTACCCTCCCCTTCCCCAATCTCCCCAATCCCTGAATCCCCAACGATCCTCAAACTCCTAATTCCCAAAAAGCCGGTGACGCACTTGTAACGCCTCTGATGTTCCAGGTGTCAATGGGCGACGCCGATTGCTTACCATTAGGTGATCCGTCTGCTCATTTACCGGCTTATGAATGCCATAAAACAAAAACCTATTGTGCCAGAGGGATGTTTTTCAAATTAGTAAGCCGTTATCAGTTACAAAATGTAACTCAAATCAATTTTACCGAAGGTTACAGAGGCACGCGATTTAAGCAAAAAATCTTTAGCCCGTTGATATCCAATCCCCTAAATTTGGTAATACAAAAGTAGTCTCTAAACATTAGAAATAAGGTCTATAATGTAATGTAATATTAGTGGAAAGCGGTCACCGGTGACCGCTTGGGGATTTATGGGTTAAATATAAGTACCTACGTAATAGATATGCATTCGTAATAGGTCGTGGTAGCTCGAAGGTTGAAGACTGCAAGTACCAATGTGACTTTATCCGAGTCACGTGTAGTTTCTAAGATTATTTAGACACCACTGACAAACGATGAAGGAAAACATCGTGAGGAAATCTGGGCTTATAATTTCTAATGAAAAGTTTGAAATCGCCAACCTGCATCGAGCAAGCGTGGTGATTAATGTTCAAACCTTCTCCATGTGAGAAGAGGCTTTGCTCAGCAGTCGGCATTTAGAGGCTGTTGACGATTTGAGGATGATAACGTAATAGGTCTTGTGAAAACCCGAAAACTTCACTATGCTTTACTCGACTTAGAAATTGTTCGCCAGTCGCTTAAGGAGACTACCCGACAAACATATAAAACTAATTTTTTTTCAAATAAATATGAACATTGGCTTTAAGCCTATTTCAATACAAACAAGTACCCAATAAATAATTAAGAACTACCAATTCATCGGCCATTAATAGAAGAGCCGTAAGTAATTAATTCACATAATTAGAACATCACGATTGAATTCAATCAATTACTTCATTCATTCCCCATATAACACGCACGTCAAGCTATTCTATTCTGTCTTTTTTTTTATTAGATTTTCGACTTTGTTGTATTGTGATAGTGTTAAATGTCTATTGATATTTTCGGGTATATTGATCTGCTGTCTTGAATGGACACATCACTTATTATGATTGTAAGTACTCATTCGTTGTAATGGATTTATATTTGGAACACTTTCATTTTAATATTTCATTGGTAACGGCAAGAGTAATTGGTAAGGACTAGGACATAATAATATGTTTTTAATAACCGGTTTGATATACGCATTCTCATTAAAATAACTATTACAATTTATGGGCCTCGTTGACCGAGCGGTCGTAAGTGCGACTGCCGGGCAAGGGATCTCGGATTCGATTCCCGGGTTGGGCAAAGTTTTACTGGGTTTTTAACAATTC